TGGTGTGTTTGTTTGGCTGGCCCACTGTGTGTTGAGAAATATCATTAGCGAACAGGCGTCAAATACAAATAGTATGCGTCGCCTTTCCATTTAGTCGTACTTGATCCAATTTACACCTCCCAGATATGTTGGCGCCTCTACTTTACACCTTAGTAGCTTTCAATGGGGTGCCTGTTTGTTGTCCCATCAGGGCACATTCTGAAAGCCCTTGTTGGCATACACCAGCATAATTGGCGGAGGAGAGTCGGCCACAGCAAAACAAAATTCTAGGCACTATATAAACTCGGGCATGTTTTAAAAACGCAACAACGACCGATTTGAACCTTTTGAAAACGTTCAGTGAGTCTAAGGCAATCGCGGCGTAAGGCTTGACTGGTTCCATTGTGTCACATCGTCTGGGAACCCTCCCCAATCACCGCCGATGCATTTTAAGTCATTCTGCCTTTTCTTTCAAAAAAATCTGTTTCCCTTGTCAGTCACCCCGGTTTTGCAACAGAGGTCGAAACCAACGTCTCCAGAGTGAGAAATACCTTTTTCTCTGCATGTTCTGCTTTACGAGTTGTCACTCAACCAGTTCATATTACAGATAGCTGACACTGGTAATAATAATGCAGGTTGGTATTAGTCTGGCGATTGTTTAGCACCCGACATAACGAGTACCACCAATCAAATTAAGGCAAATCGTGACTTCCCCCATAGTCTGTTATGCATAGGTGTTTTCAAGAGTTGATATGGGAATTCAATGGGCCGTCCCTGTGAGACTACTCAGTATGACAAGTGACCACTAGTACTGACACCATGTTTTTAATCAAAAGACACGTTATTTGATTGTGAGCAATATAGAGAGTCGGAAAGAACAAAACAATTCTCGATATTGGCTGGAAGTTTGAGTGTTATTATCACTAGGTATAACGTGTTCATTTCGTCCTTGCTTACTATTAAGTCGCTGGGGATGGTTTTACGATTTCGTAGGAATTTCGGATATGGTCGGCTATGCTTAGAATACACATGTCTTTTCCGAAACACAGACTGATATGAATATGGTGCACGCCTTGGACGCAGTTTCCGCCGCGAATACTAAGGTTCGGCGGGATTAGTTCTCTCAGTTGGCGGACTATCTGACGCCAGACCTGTCAGTTCTCAAATCAACACGTTTTCAGCGGGAATGATGAATACGGCAAATCCCCAACATGTAGTTCAATGAAGTTTATGTTAATTACGCGCGGCAGCTAGCGTTTTTGCAGCTTTGTTTCAGAGTATCCACATGTGGCCGCCGATTATAGTAGCCTTCTCACCGCCCCCGTGTACACAACAGTTAAATTATGATCACCGACAAGCGCCGAGAAAAATGCAAAACAAACAAACACGACAAGCCAAAACCAACAACCGGTGTGCAATGTAAACATAACGCTCGGTTAAAGAAGGCAACGTGCTGTTGGGGGCCGTGAATGCTACATGGCACAGGCATGTATATCTAAATTTTACATATCATTTTGTTATGGTTTCTCTATAGTTAGCTTGCGTAGATAGTTAGCTCAAAATCTGATCCCGAAATATGCAAAATAACAAAATGGGCGTTGAATGTAATGATCCCTTTGTTAGCCTGACAATGGCCTGTTAGTTACATATACAGAACTATTGCACTTGATTAGTCACTCTAGTGTAGACAAGAAAGAAACATAAAACAAGGAAGACAACGGTGATGATACTCAGACTTCTCAGTTAAATTGCTGAATAAACGGTAGTGTTTTGGTGTATTTGCTATGCGATTCAGCGACAAACATTTCTGCCCTATCAAGCAGATAAGTACCTCCGATGTGTAATTGCAGTGAACATTGTGAACAAATCGAAAGAGCGATCAATCGATCTCTGAAGGACGTCGAGAGGTTAGGAAGAGCAAGACGAGACAGCCGAGTAGAATGCTTAATACACAGAAGCAAATGATGGTACAGTTGTACGAACGTTGAACGTAAACTTGGAACATAAACACGAAATATCATCATTCCCACAAGAACTAAACATTTCTAAAAATGCTCGGTCGAAGAAAACAAAATATTGAACATAAAATGTTTTAATCAATTATTCAAGAATATACGCAAAACGTCAAAAATGTTCCCCATCCGAATTTCTCTCTTATTTGTAATATTTGTACAATACGTTAGTTACCAAATGCAAACCATGGAAGCCCGGTGTGACTTCTTATTTTGACCAACAACGCTTAATTTTGTTAAGTTCCGGAAATGCGTGGAAAATTGCCAGTAAAATAACGTTAACAGGATTTAACATTGTCATTCAGATAATACCACTACGCGCTAACGTTGCGATCACATTTGTATCGTGACGCTGCTGGACACGTGCTATAAACGATAGACTCCACAACATGCCATGGAGCCAACAGAGACACTGAAAGCGCAATCCCTTTAAAAAAAGACTGTCGTTTTTTCACGTTTTGTTCCTGTAGCCTCGGGCTAGCGAAGCCATTTTAAAAATTAGCTTTAAAATATAAAATTAATTTTGTCCCAAAGCATTGTGATCAGACTCTCTGTCCCAAAGTGTAACCCGTAACGCCGAGGCGGCATACATACTTAGTATTTCAACGTTGTATTTATTGTAACGATAAAAATCAACAACAAAAACATGGCTTTAAATTCATGAATAGTTGCGGTGGATTAGTCTCATTTCTCAAATCGCGGCGTTAAATGTATCTGTATGGAGATATTTTTAAAAATGATTGATTGCAGAGCTTTGCTGGTGGGGGAGTCACGTGACGATTTCCTGAATATGTCCACGACAGGACTGCAGTGTGCAACCATGCACGATTCTGGCACATGTAGTTCTTTCCCTTTAATTAAATATTGAGAAAAAATTGAAACGAAATCAGTGTGTGTGAAGTTTCACCATCAAATTGCGATCGAGTTACCCTTAGCAACCACGCTTGCATGATATTTAGCTGAAAAAAAATCGGTAAGCAGGCAAGTCGGCAATAATAATGAGCTACGTCTAATTTTCTATAATTTCTCGCCAGTGATAGACGCCGTCTCGCGGTTCCTTCCACCATGCTGGCTCCTAAACGTAACCCCAACTCATTTGTACGCGCTCACCCCATAATTACTCGTGTTGACCTCTCGTCCGCTGAAACCCACACGACTACAACGTCTGTTGATGACAAATGGAAGGCCACTGTTGAAATAATTTTGAATAAATACTCGCGTTTATTTTTACATCATCTCAGACGTTTAAAATTATGTATAGTTGTTATTTTTTTAAAACTTTTAACAGTGATGAGATGACAAACATATCTATGAAACCCACAGTAAATAACTTTATATGTTTGCCATCTATGTGGTTGGCGTAGTGCGTTTCACCGATCATAGCATTTGATGCGTTTATCGAAAGCCATTGCTTCAATGGACAGGGAGCCCAGGGAGAATTAGACACTTTTCTTTGGCAAATGGCGGGTGAAATGATCAGAAAAATCCCGTCCCTCCCACATGTGAGTCAGTAAGACTCCAATTCCAGGAGAGTGGCAGAAAGGAATAGTATTGAGATGAAATCAACCATTCCAGAACCGGTCCATAGGGAAAGTGACGGGGGCTATTAAACACACACACACACACATACACACATCCAGTACACCCAGAAATATGAAAACAGTTTTATATCTTTTTTACATTTTATTTTCCCCTCAACATTAAATTGAAGCTGGAATATTGCAATGTGGGTGAATCCTAACAACGTAACACTCACTGACGTCACTCAGATGGGTTTATATTTTTACGAATGGCAAATTTAAAGGCCTGTTTCACAAAAACGACCAGAATGGTAACAGTGATGACAATTATGGAGACTCAAATACAAATAATAAAAAGTAACAAGGCAGACTCAACTATCTGTGGATAACACGGTGGGTATTTCAGTCTCGACGACTCAGAGTTGATGCAAAATAAAAACAAATACGCATAAAACTGAGATAATACATACATATGAGCTTGAAACCTGCCTCAAGTTTTTTAAATAAATTATTTTGAAAAAAAAATTCTTCAGAACGTTGGAAAATAATGGATTGAACATAAATAATTTCCTTTTTCACACACATATTTAAATATATACAATGAAGAACAATAATAAACGATGTTAAAACAGCCTATGGGGGAAGGGAAAATATATTATATAATATATATATGTATATCCATTATACGTGTCGAATCTCGTATAGTGCACAGTTTAAAAATCACCGTGATAATTAACAGAAAACACAACAAGACAAAGACACGTAGGGTATAAATAGTACAAGCTCTGAACCCTAAACATAAATTAGAACATTCAAGTCTCTCTGCAGCTCAACTGTCCGCCATTAACTATTTACAAAAAAAACTTGTTCTGTCTTGTTGTGGAGTGCCTTTTCAAGTTCCATAGACAGATTTTTAAAATATTTCATCTACTTGATTGGTGGCCCGATGATAACATGGCTTTGGTACTTCGAAATGTCACAGACCAAAAACACTGTTAATGTGTTTATTCAGTTTCTACTAATGTTATAGTTTTTTTTCTTTTAAAAACATCTCTTTGGTCACAATATAAATAAAAAAAAGTTGGGGTTTAGTTATAAGCTATAAAAATTATCCAGTTTTAACTGTACTCCATAAAGAACGTAGTAGTGTGGTGCTACATAATAATATAACAGGTAGGCAGATAAACCATCGATAGCTTGCAACGACATGAAGATAAGCCCAGATAACCTACGACAGTGTTACACTTGTCAACAAGCGTAAGCAGCGTTTTAAAATCTACGGAAGTGGCACCTAGACTGTGATCGAGTCCCGCGATGGATTCATAATCGGTCTTCACAATTTTGATCTCTTGAAAACAGTTCAAAAGTAACATTTTTTTATCATTATCTCTCTGACTACTTTCATGAGATATGCCTCTTCGATTACCGTGCATGTAAGCACAATAATATGTGTGTTATACGGTGGGTATAGTGGCTTGTCAAGTACCTGTTAATAACGTCCAGCATTTGCCAGTGTTTTGTTCGCTGGCCACTTGAATGCTAACTCGTATGTTGAATAAGGTTTTTTCTATGCACAGGTAAATGCTATTTCTGACTAGACTGGCGCTCACACAATGATCTATATGTTTATTTATCACTTAGCTTTGTCAGTGACCCGGCGGCCATTTTCTCTTGCTGTTGTTCTAGTCCGCTGACTAGTTTTTGAATGCTCTGAAGTTCATTGTGAGCGGATGTCGTCACAGGGGTGTTATCTCTGACTGGTGAGACCTGTGGCAGTGAGGCACCGGCACTGGTATTGGCTATGGTTACCAGGCCTGCTGCCGACGATTGTAGACTATCTATGGAGCTATGTCCCGACGCGCTTAACGGTGTACCAGTAGTGACCATTGTCGTTGATGTTAACGGGAGTGGGTATGGAGAAAATCGGAGACGAGCTCTATTTTGTTGTGAGCTTAGGATTGCACCGCGGTAATAATTCGACGCTGCAGCAGCAGCTGCAGCAGCATTGTTCAGAGCCGGATTGCTGATTACTGCATACCCCTGCGACCCTGCAAAGACCTGTCCATTCAAACTGTATGGGATTCCCTGAGCGTTCAATGAGAAATGGTGTGGGACAAAACAGGTGTGTCCGGAGGGTGACTGTAACAGCTGCGCATGAGCAGTGGTCGCCGACGCAACTGGGAGCATGGCAGCTGGCAAGCTCTGGACGGCGTTAGGCAAACCTGGCATCACTTGTCCTGGGTAGAATAAAAACGGTTGTTGCGCTAAATGGTGTAACTGACTATGGTGACTTGGCGAGATTGGTCCAGCTGGTTGAAACGCTAGTGGCGTTGGATGTTGCACAGTGATTCCCGACGAAGAAGACGGCGATGGCGATGACGACGAACTTGACTTTGAAAGGCTGGTCACCAATTTAGTGTTCCTTGACTCGTATTTCGTGGATTCCTCATCTTCCTCCGAATCGGAGTAATTTGTTTGTTCATTTTTAGAGTTCGTTTTACGAACTTTATTATCCTCTTGTTGGTGGTGTAATTGCATGTAATCATCCTCATTGCACTGGCGTTCGATTGTTGAAGAATTATTCAAAGACTTATCAAATATATCATTGTCCTCTTCGTCGGCGGAAGAGTTCTCATCACCATCTTTCTCGCCCATCGCATCCTTTGCTTCCTCTAACGCAGCAATTCTTAACTTAAGTTCATTGGCGGCGGTTTCCTCCTCGTCATCGCGATCGTTGCTTTCTACGTCCACATCGATTTCTTCCTCAATTCGAGTCGTGGAGTTGGCTTCGGCGGATACAGACTCTGTAGAAAACGAAATAATTAAAAGATTGTGTCAATAAAGTTGTAGACAGAATCGAATTAAAATCCAATAAATACCTGCAGTGTTTGGTTGTTGCTAGTTGATACTGAACGTATTAAGTCCGTGAGATATTCCAAGAGGTCTTTGGGAATTGCCAGGTTGCTTTGAGTGTTTTAAGCAGGGTGCATGGCGTCTGTCTGCACACCCAGCTTTGCCGAATTTACACAGTATTACATGATAATAACTGTGCGAACAATAGTCCTCATATCAGCATATTATTCAAGACCGTTGAAAAGACACCAACTATTCTGGTCACTCAAAAGCCATTACAGGTATATAATGTGAAAAGAATACTACATAAACGACAGAATTGTGTACAAACAGAGGATATTAAAAGAGGGGGAGAAAAAAAGGGATTAGAAATGTTGCCGTTCACTTACTTAGGGGCGAAAGGACCACAGGTGGCTCCCTAACATGTCCAACCCTGGGCTCACTGTACTGTTTTATTGACGAAGTTGAAACTTCAGCTTGATCGGTGTGTTTGCTAGCTTCGTTGCAGCTGTTCATGGTCGATTCTATTTGCGTTCGGTGCTCGGAGGCTTCTAGACTGGTTTGCTGCATTTTCCTACTGCAAGAAATAATCCGTGCACAAGAACGCACGCGAACAATACGATTAAATAAATTTGCCGAAATAATGTGCGGTGTCGCCTGTAGAACAAACTTTGGGAGACGGTAACAATGGTGGAGTAAACTAGTAAATTGGTGACAGATCTTTCCAAGCAAATCTCGGGGCCACTTCAAAGGGATCCGAATAACGAACGGGGCAAATTAGGTTAATTTGCGACAAAAAGAAGGGAAAACGTCCCTTTGTTGCTAACGAGCATGGACCTTTAATACTTTAGGATCGAATCAACGCTGACAATACCTATGAAACACAGAGGAGGGTGGGACGAAACCTCCTCCCGTAAGGGTACGCAAAGAATGACAATTGAGAAACAAATTATTTATTGTATACGTTTGTTATACATAACACAAAGGCGTTTTTACGGATGTCCCGTTTGAGCGGTACCGTGATTGAAATAATAGAGACATGATGTTCTCAAATCGTAACAATACAAATATATTTTTTCCGGAAATACATATTCCATTGTGTTGAGTAGTACATTGAATTTTATGGACTTGTATACAAAAACTCATTTTTAAACAAACACGTAACAGGAATATTGAACTGTCTTTAAAGCGGATGTATAAATACGTGACGATTCTGAATTAGTCGTTCGATTAACAGTTACATACAAATAAATAAATAAATAAATAAATAAATAAATACGAGAATTAAACACTTTATTTAACCTACGTTTTTTCTCGTTTCCCTGCTCCATTTTCTCTGAAGCCCTTTGCGAATGGATTATGGTCAATCTTGAGCTGTGTTACCTGCAAGAAAGGGAGATAACAGGCAATTAGTCTGACGCATGATCCACGTGGTTGTAACACGCTTGTGTAATGCACACAACAATTTTCGAATTGTTGAAAAATTATTTTAAATTATCGATACGGCATTCTAGAGCCTATATTCGGATCGAAGGCAGACTACATGAACATCTGCAATTGTGAAAATATAAGATAAAATATAATAAACGTATTATAAAGAGAGAAATAATAACGCAGTTTTTATTACAGATTTTTTTCCTTTTTTGAAAGCTTTCTAAATTAAGGAATGAATTTGCTTTGATTTTGATCGACTCGATATATACACGTAATATTACTGCATCGTTTCTGCTTCTCGGAATATTCTATTCATATGTGATGTTAAAATACAACCACGTCAGAATTACCAACGTTCTGCGAGTCATTTTACAAATAAAACCAGGAACATTGAACAATAAATGCACGTGGAAAATCTTTACTGATGCAACACTAACAAAAATATTCATTTTCCCGTAGCAACAAGTTTAAGAGTAAACATATATTTTGTGATTTGATTTGAAAAGATTCTGTTATTTTCACACAATAGTTGGGCGGGAATATTGGTAGGCAACTTTGTACTATTGTTTAATATGCGCTCGAGGTGATATGTGGACACCACGACTTAGTGGCACCAGTGGTAAACATACATATTAATTCCCGCGTTTTTCAGACTGTTCAATTTTTCGGTGATTTTCATTACGGAAATATTTTTAGCAGGAAAAGAACCTGAAATATCAAATCGTCGGATGCGATTTTATTTGTGATTATCCAGTGAACACCAGCTAACCCGGTACATGTGGTGCGTTGTATGTGAACGATAATAACAAATCACAAGATCCGTCTTGGTTGAGAACAAAGTATGAATCACACACGCTTTGAAAACAAACCCCAGGTTGGAATGACAGACATGTGAGAGTGACACGTCACTGGAGGACGTGATTAAAAAAGACGAGAAAAGTGATCGAATTCTGCAACTGGAGAAATTAATCGAAGTGTGAAATAAATTTTCTCTTAAAAGATTTTTCCTCTCAAAAATAACATTCTTGTATTCAGACTATATCAATTTCTCACGGCTTTGTATTCAGCGGACGAAAGTGGATTGCCCGCCCGCTTAGGGTATTGTTCGTAACACTATGGATAGACTCGTTTGACGCCGAGCGCGCGACGGCATCATCGATAATTTGCCTTTAACACGACTCTACTCTCACGAGCTCACTGTATCTGTCCCGGGGATCAGAACGCCGATGAGAAAACCGTGTGAAATCAATGGACAGTTGACGGATTGGAGATTTGTACACATCATTCACCAAGCGTCAGCAGTTGTTTTTCCGATTGCCATGTTTCGGAGGGTGAGGGAGAGTAGACTGGAATCACCAAACACCCATATTCCAAGTATGTCTCTGGCAATTGATTTGAAAAAAACAAAACATCAGACTTAACTCGTGTTAGAAAAAAATTAAAAATTCAAAGCTTTGACCCTGTCATCTTGCACCTAGACCTCGCACCTCCCTTCCGTGTGTATTGGGATGATCGAGCATAATCAAAATCTAGTTCTTAATTTTTAATGTTATACTTTATTGCCTTTGATAACTGGATTGGATTGGCGTGATATGCTGGGTTCGACTTTAAAAGATACCCCCAAATAAATCACTGAAACGAATCTTGCAATGACAAGACATTAAATTCATCATCGAGACCTGTACGAGTCCCATTCACTTCAATCCCATAAGGCAACAAAGTCGAAGATATCCATAAAACTCACTTAAATCTGAAGAATTGGGCGAATTTTATACCTATGTGAGTGCAATAAATGTAAAAAACATAAACATTACTGCGAACATTAATAAACCTAGTAACCATCCTTGGCATTTTAAAACCAGAAAAAGCCGCTTACATATATTACATCACTTTTTGATAAAGTAGTATACGGGGGAGTTTTCTCGTTAGTTAACAAGAATGACCACTTTCTCGTCCAATTTACCCCCACCTAAATGTGCGCTGAGGTTGTTTTACGATATGCTTTAAAACAAATTAGAATAATATCGCCCATATTGCTAATATGTTTCAAGTGAACAAGTCGCACGTGGGTTTATTTTATTCTTGGCAATATACATGGAATCGGAATGTATCTTTACACTTTTTTTTACAAACCTAGTAAATACAGAATAAAGTACTGTTAAGCCCTCAACAGACATAAAATAGAAAAATAGAGCTATAGGTTTCGTGTGCTGGGATTTTTCTCCCGGGTTTCCGTCTAAGTAAATATTTACAAGAACAGACATCGCGTTTAAATAGAAACGATTCTTTAAATTAAAAACTCATTTTTAAGAGACAATGGCAGAATAAGTGCTAGTCTGTAACAATCTCTCTTTTCGTTTTTGTAATGCTTAATTTTGAATTCATAACATTTGAGAATTCCACTACTATTCCACTACTAGAGTAAAAAGAATGTTATGGCATCTACAAAATGCATTTAAAAGTCATAATTTGTATTGTTGTCATGGTTTCTAATGATGTTTCTGTGACACATTCAAAACGGAAGTTTAGAATAATGGCCAATGTTAGGTGTTTTTGTGGCAGATATCGGCACGAAGATCAGGTCATATATACGTTGGACACTTACCTTTTCGTTTTGGTACGCTGTAACGGCGATGAATTCTGTTTCTTTGAACACATATGTTCGAAACTGGCTCCATGGTAGCTTCAAGATATCGTTCGCTTTAACGATGTGAAACCGGGGTTGATATTTATGCATCGAATTCAGTATTGTCTGTTGAGAAATAAAACAAAAACAAAACACTGAGTAAAAATATCGAAACGTTTCGTCCCACATTACTACTGTTGACACTAACGATTATTACGCAGAGGTCTCTATGAGAGAGAAACGAAGGGCGAAGTATCGCCATTATACGTGTGTGGAAAGGGGTCTTGCAGGTCACAGGCATGGCGCTTCGCCTTGCGTTTCATTAACAAATCCAGGATTCGTTAGTGAAATCTCAAATTTGCTGTTTTTTCCCTCGAAGAGTGGAAATACTTGGTTGATTTCACCTCGTATAAAGAAGCAGTAAAACGTATGCGACACGCGATGCGAGGCACCTAGTTGTCGACAGCATTGTACAGACATTGGCCATGCTGAAATCAATATCGTCTACGGACATTTTGACAGAGAGAAAATAATAAAATGGGAGGGTCCTGCGGCTTAAAGAGACGGGCCTGAGCAAAATATAACAACCATTTTGCATTAGCCCTGTTTTTATTTTTAATTTCTTTGCAAGCAGCGCGTACAATACAGCTAAATTGTATTGCTATACCCACAACAGAATTCGTTCCGTTTACAATACGCGCAGCCGTCGTACTGTCTACCCGCGCCATTAATTCGGGCTCGCACACGATCACTGCAATCCGTTATCAAACGTCACAAAAACCGGTAGCTCGAAATATGATAGCACCTTTATTGTGTGTAATATTGGTAGCTTTTTTGTAATATATAAATAATAACAGAGATGAGGCTACTCCGGGGAGCGAACACACCGTACGAGGTTAGAAAACCCCAAGCAATACGCTGCCGAGCATGCCTGAACGGACTCGAGGATTGGAAAAACACACAACAAAATAATAAATAAAACACACAGATATTAGGATCGATTATGATGTTTAAATAACGAGCTACATTCGTAAAAAAGCTGCGTTTTCCCGACTACACTACTTATTGCAAGCAATGTAAGTCGTGGTGTGGCATTAGGTGCACAACGTATCGGTGACAAGAATATGTTAACAACTCGTCGCGTTTTATAGAGATACCGATGCCAGAAGATACAGAGACTGGCATATTGTCATGCTTGTTTAAACCCAAAAATTACTCATCAGTTCATGCATAGGGACAATTTCACCACAAACGGACTAGCAATAACTGTTGCCATTTCGATACTAGGTGAAATAACGAAATAAAATAAAATAAATAATCCGCTATAGTTGGTCACTCTACTCGCCTAATTTTAATGGCACGGTAAGATGGTAACAGTGATATCTAACTAATATTTTGTCTGGGTCCAATACACCACATGTCGCTAGACAGGCTGTGAAATCTGAGCCCGTACCCAATAATAAGTGGGCTAATAGACTGTGTTGCAGTATGACACGATCGCACCCCTCCCGACACGTCAAAACCACACACTGAGCTCTGACACACGCCCGCCCGACTTCCTTCTGCGCCAACCAAAACTTGAAGGTGGTTTAAATTTGTCACTGGGACAGTGGCGTGTAATAAAATCCTTAATCGGACACAAGAAATCTGTCATCATGTTTGGAGTGACGGGACATCAGTTCAAGTGAACATTGGCCAATTTGATGTGCTAGTCTACCAGCCGTGACTAAAACAACAAAGCGGAACTGTCCGTCGGGGAAAGCATACCGACTCGCCGACGCTTCTTGATACGCCTCCACCTGTTATATGTATTTTTGGTTTTCCATTTAATTTTGGTTTGTTGTAGTTAAAAAAATAGGCACAACAAACAAAACGTGTACATGTACATTTGGGGATATGTTTCGGTCGCAGCATTTGATATCGTCCCCTTTTTTCTTTTCTTTTTAGAATCGTAGGGGAGGGATTAGATTTGCTGAATCGTAACTAACAAACTATGGGGCACGAACACTTTGTGAACAAAATCATAGATTGGTTTGGTTTGTATCCCGCGTAGGAGCGACTTTTTGGCGACGACCTGACCCCTGGCACTTTTAGGAAAGAGAGAAAACAATCTTTTGTGTTGGGAAACAGTGGCTTTCTATATGCCAGTCACATAAAGACAGTCACCCTCGTCGCAAAGAAGAAGGGAACAGTAAGGCCTGCAGGAAATTTTGGAGACATAAAGTCTTGCAAACATATAATTAGAAACTAGAGAAATAACGAAAGTGGATGAATAACTACTACAACTATGCAAATAGTCTTGGGGTGATGGACACGGACACTAAGAGAGAATCATTGAATTCTTGCTGGTATGAAAACGCCAAGTTATTTCTTTTAATAATAATAATAATAACCACCATAGACACTATAGTGTGAATAACGAATAAAAATAGAGAAATTTCAAAACGGTGAAATGTTGAGTATGTCTGCCTGATGTGGATTTCAAATAAGGAATAAATGAAATGTTTAATCACCCACAAAACCAGAGACAGTTTATGTGTATTTGTACATGTTTGATAGAGAATACACTCATGGTTGTAATTCGTATATCCGTATTATTAATTTACGGACAAATGGCAATATCTCACGTATTTGCCTTTGCATATCTAACAATAACATAACGATACTAAGATGGAAAAGTAAAAAAAAATAAGTAAAGTGTTATCGTACATGAATACTCACAAAGCCGTGCTTATCAGATATGTTATTGGTCAATTTTAGCTTGTGAAACGACACGACTTTCTGCATCCACTGTTCTCCAGTACACGGCGAGTCTGGGTGAATATACATCCTTTTCGGCATTTCCGGATCCGCCTTTCCAGCTACCATCCAGCGAGAGTTGTGAAATTTGTACCGACAATCGTCGGCGGCTACTATATCCATCAACAAGATGTACTTGGCTTTCTTGTCCAGTCCGGAGACACGTACTTTGTAAGACGGGAACATCCGCCTGTTGGTGGAAAAGAATGTGAATTAAAATATTAATACAGAAAATTGTAAAATCGCTTTGATTTTTGCCCTTTACTTAAAAAATAGGACTCTCGGGAACGCGAGTGAACAAAGCGAAATCAGACGTGTGATGGTGTCTCCGACATACTGTTGTTTACAAAGCTAAAGCCGACATAAGAGTTTTGAAATTACACCTATTTTTTAAAAATTGTTTAGTCCGAATATAATTTGGTAGAGAAACAACACATATTATAACAGGTCAGTCAATCAAGGTTGAAAGAGACAAACATCGTAAACTACAACGGCGAGGCGGTCACATGCCAATGCAACCGACACACGAACTTTGGCTCACGATCACAAACCACTGGTGTAAGGTTAGAACGAAGTTCCCAGGTTATGTTGACAAACACGGAAATGGTTAGTTGACAAAAACAGCGTAATTTTATTTTGTGCATACGTTTGATGTTCGGCCACGGCAACAAAGCACAAATAGGTAAATTAGACGCGGTTTATCGCTTGAAAACAGTACCTATATACATATGTGTTGGTAGTACTCTGTGCTTTAATAGTCGTTCTCGCAACCCTACAGCCACTATAAATGCATGTTGATTTCCAATAGTAAATAAGCCTGGATGGCCAGAATGAAATCGACAAGTAAAAATTACCGAGATCGCTAGTCTACTAATGGGTACATCATAGCTGCGAAATAGTATGCGGGGACCGTGTTTACCATCGCAGATAGTTGATATCTGAGGACGGCAGGCCACTCGTTGCGTAAACTAGCACACTGGTGAGGCATGGCAGACCAAAACATATATGTGTCTGCGGCTTTCGATATTATACTGGCCTGACGATGTGTGTATACTATATTGTAACCCGTACTCGGTGGCCAGCTATCTATATTATTATTATTACACAGTTGTCAAAACACTTTGAATGTTTACAATTATAGTGGTCTCTGACCAGTGCTACTGGAACTGGAAAGTTTATTAAATGTATGTAGGAGAAATAAAATAAATACACACCTTCCAGATTTGGTGATCACCATTTCGGTTCCACGTTTGTGAAATTCTTCCCATAGATCTTTGGTTTCGAGGTTTACGACAATATTTTCGTCTTCGTCCGATTGATTATCCAGTGTCCGAACTGGTCGTATTCCCGGTTGGTGAACGGACAAGAGGTCGGGGGCATAGTGGCAGTGTGGGTCGGTCAATTTCGGGAACATAGGCAGCGTGGCTATACCGGCTCCATTCGGTAGTGCATGGGCTGGCAGTATACCGGGGAAGAACTGCGGCTGTGTGAGTATGGAATTCACCGAGAAATCGCTGGGCCGATGCGACAGAAACTGCGTGTAAGCCATCCCTGGCTCTGAGACCATAGGATGTTTCATATATGTGCTACGGACTGTGTGGTATTCTCCGATACAGCTCCAACTGACTTGTCTATATGCTATCTTCGTATCTTAATGAGGTTTGCTAGTTGATTGGCTATTTCGCACGAATCGACCAATCAGCGTTGAGTATAGGCGTGTTAGTGGCAACTTACACGACGTATCAGCCGTAAACAAGGTGTCGGAACGCACAACGTACTTATGACATTATCGCATCAATCGTGGCGAAATGTCAACATAATTAAGTATCCACCAATACAGCGCCAAATGGGAGTGCGCTTGTGGTTTTGGAATCAGGGGGCTACAACCGTGGCTGTCTGTGAGACGAATAAATATTGTCCTAGGGTACTACTTTCAGCTTCCAAAAATTACAATGTGTCTAAAATCAATACGCATTCGGCCCGTGAAAACTCCGTCAAATATAAGCCAATATTTGCGGAAAATATAAAATTTCCTCCACAGGAAGAGAAATTGCAGACTAGGGCCTGGAAAAGGTTCGTTTTAATTTTGCGCTATTTGTGGCGACACGCCCACTGAGGGAAATTGGCAGGAGAAGGTGTCAAAATCCAGCCTGCTATTGTGAACGCCACAGCAGCTAGGTTTACATAGTACGGGGTAGTCCCCCGCTATGTGTTTTCATACACGCATCGGGGATACCCTTTCCAACCAGGAAGTAGTGTTTGGGGTAAAATGGAGGGCTAGATAGGCGTAGATTCGCGCACCAATTTTGGTGGGAGCACGGGTTGGCTATATTTATGGCCTTTACAGGGGGCGGGTCGACTAAAAGCGTGAAAATGATGAGCGGAAGATCTGAAGTGATTAGCTATTCTAGCATTCCATTTTGACGTAAATGCATAAGTACGCTTGGCGCCAGCCGTGTGACGACACACAATGAAGAGCGTCTGGTATCAGTTTTCATTCACTAAAATATGTTCCGGCCCTTGACTCTGAATACTACTGTCGCCATAATTCAAGGCATCTGTCTACGGTCAGCTATCGGTCTAAAAACGTCACGAAACGCCTGTCATTTTATGATGGATGGCCGGAATGGTGGATGGGAGGGTAGGAAGGTAGACTTGTTGTGTCGGAGTACAGTGTTCGATCGTATTCGACGGATTTCTTGCCGGTGCTACCGCATCCGCCATCTTGGAATGCATTGTTCAGGGCTTAAGTACAGAGGCTACCGCCTTACTGATTGAGTTGCCACTTTGGCTCCGTTATTCTTCGCTGTATTTTTAGCAGAGAACGCGTCCGCGGCTGAAAAATATTATTAAATTCGAGCACAATGCAAACGTTGCTTTTGTAATAAGGCATGTAGGCTGCAGTGGCTGCCAGTGCTATGATTGATTTAGTGTTCAGTACTCTGCGCCGCCTTCACCCGAGTTATCGCCAGACTATGATGTGTGTAGCCCAAGACCAGCGACGGTGACATTACTTTTGTTGTTGACTGTGCCATGTTTGTTTGAGAGAAAAGGCTATTATCTGTAATTAGTCTGGTGATGGACAGTTTTCTCACATCTGCCCCACCCTAAACCAATCGGCTATACGTTGGGGATAATTGCTGTTGACTGGGCAAAGTGTTAACATAATTAATAAGCGCCAGTGAAAACGCGTGAGGTGTGAAGCCCCTTTGTGTGCCAGCACGCCGCCTATTCAGGCTACATTCGCGCTAAATCGCCCTGGCGCCAGTAGCGCATTGTCTGATTAGATTCAAGGAAAACATATGGGAATAGAACACGATTTCCACCCCGATTTTTAGGCGACTCTTTTGTTTCAGATTAAAAAGGCGTCAGGCTATTCAAAACATAGGTGTTGGACAATTTCGTTTGGTGTTTTTTTTCTTCACTGCAGACGTTTTGAAAAATTTCAATACTACAAAATCTGTTGTAGGGGGCGGAGACTAAGCTGGGCAGGCAAAAAGTAAACAGCCTCGGCGCTGTGTGGTCTGTTTAGGACAGTTTATGTAATCGGCCAGGTTTCCTTTCACGGCGTCCAAAATCGTCTCGAGTATGAAGTGTTCTCAGATATTGGCTCTGACAAAAACATACACGACTTATCTCGGTATCAAATGACTTTGCATCGCAAGCAAGGGTTTTAAGCACTTCAGCCCGCCCTCTATACCTTTTAGAAAATAGATTGCCAAGTATTCTGTACATTCCCTCTTCTAAAGTGTTGACAAGTCCCAAAACAACAACTCGTTCGTGTTTCGAATTGATACCCCGATTAAAAAAAAAAAAAAAAAAACCTCAAGAACCTTTGCAGCCAACGTGTCTGATCCCTTGGTAGTGCGAACAAAAGTGTGAAACCACTTTCAGTATGTTTAAAGGTGGCGAGTAACAATCAAAGAGTCTTTTGTTGTTTCATCAGCTTCTCCTTGTTGCCATTGTGTTGTTTGCTTGTTGGATCGATCTTACCCTAAGCACGTAATGCATATTTTCACCCCGAAAGCCACAAATGTTAGTCCACTATATTATATCATTCACAGTTACTTTACCTATAGAGAGACTATTGCTCACTTTTGTTCCATGTAGAGACACACTAAAATGTCTCGTATTGCCACAGATAGACAAACAAACAGACGATTTGCGTTCTAAAATCTCCAAGATCGGATAACCATATTGATTCTATCGAAAGTAGAATGTTGCGCAACACCACAAATCGTAAGTTCCCGCCCCGTGTCCACATGTGTGGCTGCTGGCTGAATATTTTTGTTATTGAAACCTGAAGTTGATAAAAAATATTAATTATTGTTTATCATTATTTTAAAACTCAAACAATACCACGCCAACATATATACAAGTGGGCAGTTTTGTTTTGTGAAAAATAAATTAATACTCTAAGATAATAGATTTGTTTAGAATAAGAAGACTCTGACGTATTAATTTCTGTGTGTGACAGGCTTCAATGTATCCCAATACGAAAGAATCAGCCCAGGGGACGCAAATCAACCCAGCTCAGGGAACGCAAATCAACCCAGCCCAGGGGACGCAGATCAACCCAGCCCAGGGAACGCAAATCAAGCCGAATCCATTACACGTATAATAAAATTCATTTTAAATTATTACAATTCCTTATTCGCATTTCCATGATTTGTGTTAAAAAAGACATCTGAGACAATTTGACTACCACTTTTTAATATGGTATTTATATAAAAAAAAAAGTCTGGTGTTGTCGGTGCTGTTGTTAATTCGGCGCCATCTCCTCTTATCGAGTCATTTCACATAAAGACATCCGTGCTAAAAGGCGCTCTCCAACCAAATTGCACATTTCGCAAAAGTGAATAATGAGAAACCAAAGCTTTTGCCACGTTGTTCAGTTGACAAAGACATGTGTTATGTGTGTATTTTCCCGAGTAGGGGGTGTATGTCCAGTCTATTCTCAGTGCCTCGATGCAAGTAGGGGGGTGTATGTCCAGTCTATTCTCAGTGCCTCGTTGCAAGTAGGGGGGTGTATGTCCAGTCTATTCTCAGTGCCTCGTTGCAAGTAGGGGGGTGTATGTCCAGTCTATTCTCAGTGCCTCGTTGCAAGTAGGGGGTGTATGTCCAGTCTATTCTCAGTGCCTCGATGCAAGTAGGGGGTGTATGTCCAGTCTATTCTCAGTGCCTCGATGCAAGTAGGGGGTGTATGTCCAGTCTATTCTCAGTGCCTCGATGCAAGTAGGGGGTGTATGTCCAGTCTATTCTCAGTGCCTCGATGCAAGTAGGGGGTGTATGTCCAGTCTATTCTCAGTGCCTTGATGCAAGTAGGGGGTGTATGTCCAGTCTATTCTCAGTGCCTCGATGCAAGTAGGGGGTGTATGTCCAGTCTATTCTCAGTGCCTCGTTGCAAGTAGGGGGTGTATGTCCAGTCTATTCTCAGTGCCTCGTTGCAACCACTTAGATACACATCTACCACCAATTTGTTAACACATTTAATATGTTTGGTAAACCCCGTCAAAATAGCAGTGGGCGATACCTAGTTAAATGCATATCACTACTGGAACGTGACCTCACTGGGGTCACGCACAGCTCGGACAGTAAGACTCGGGCAGCTGTTTTTACAACCCCATGTTTACTCGTGTGTGAGATATGACGCCTTTTTGGTCCAGCCGGATTTAATGGTATAGTAAGCTTCCAGGCGGCGACGCGGATTCTTTTATTATTGATTTTTACCGACAAAATCATTACTGTGCGACATTTCCACCAGTTTCTAAAACAAATCAAATAGTGGTAATTTTACAGAAATTAATAATATTGTCCGTTCGACGAAAAATAATTTGATAGTTTTTTGAAGATTTCAATCCAGAGTGTGGCTAATAATGTACTTCTGTGAATGGAAAGTTCATATTTTAAAAAGGTAACAATAGAGTCATGAACTTAGGAATAGAGCTAATTATATGATTACCAGACAACGTGTCACTCTGTTTCCGTATCTTGTCCCCATCGATGTTACAACTAGAGCTACTATGACGAAGGTCATGAAGGTCATATTTGGGATGAAAATACATCTCTATTATTCCATCCATTCAAACAAATTTCGTGTCGACTGCTACTGAAGACTGGGTGTTTGGCTGAATAGGTAACTCACCGGGCCCCGATTCTCAGCGATCAAATATCCAAGTGAAGGGAAAGAACAAACGGCTCAGAGTATTTAGAAGAGAAAAATTGTCAATTAGTTGTAAAAACAAATGTAGGTTGAAATCACATAAAATAGTTGTGGAAGCTACAGCTGTGGTATATTGCCATTCGTGGCAGACAGAGCAATGACCTGAATTACAGTAAAACGTTGCCATATTTACAGCTTTCGCTTAAAGTCTTTGGGTCCACTCTAATGTTCAGTATTTTAAATTGACACTCTTTGTTCCCATATTTTTTTTGCATTGACAACAAATCCATATTTCTATGAAATGGTTGTTATGGTAACTTGTGTCACGATACTAATATACACCACAATTTATAAGGTGAGTTCTTCGCTGACGTATTCTCTCAGAGCGTTTCACCAATCACATATACGTAACGGTGAGAATTCATC